ACCCTTTTGTGTTCATGAAATATGTAGGGTCAAGCTCCAGGGCAAATCCACAAGCCGATCACTGTGAGTAATATCAATAGTTGAAAGCTTAGCAATGTCCAACTGTTTATTCCCTTATAAGCTTTATGAGTTGTTAATTGGGATTGTGGACAAAAGTCTGACATGAACGAATGAATGGACCGAATGTCGTTTCGATATGAATAAATGGACCTAAGGTCGTTTTGATAGAAATAAATGGACCTAAGGTCGTTTTGACATAAATGAGTGGGCCGAAGGCCGTTTTGACATGAATGTATGGGCCGAAGGCCGTTTTGACGTAAACGAATGGACCGAAGGTCGTTTTGACAGAAATGAATGGACCGAAGGTTGTTTTGATAGAAATGAGTGGACCGAAGGTCGTTTGGACACGTATGAATGGACCTAAGGTCGTTTTGACATGAATGAGTGGGCCAAAGGCCGTTTTGACACGAATGTATGGGTCGAAGGCCGTTTTGACGTAAACGAATAGGTTGAAGGCCATTTTGACAGAAATGAATGGGCCGAAGGCCATTTTGACATAAATGAATGGGCCGAAGGCTGTTTTGACATGAATGGAAATTTGAATGGGCCAAAGGCCAGAATGTTTGGAACTACAGTCAGTTGATTTGAATTTCGTATAGTTATATATCTGTTAAATAGAAATATGAATTGCGCCCAAGGCCGTTTGGAACATGCTGTTCTACATTGTTATGTAACTTCTGTATTCGATTTGATATTATTCACTGGGCTTTTGCTCACGCTCATTTATGTGTTTATAAGTGAGCCAAGAGAAGTCCAGACCCAGCCTCAGTGAAGTCTGTATGGAACAACTAAGGTTTTGAGAGAGTCAGCCCTTGTGTCTCACGCACGAGACCTGTCTTCGCCCTTTTGTTATGTATTTACATTTTGTCAGGTTGGCGAAGTTTTGAATACGTCTGTATATAGTTTTCATGGGTTGACTTAGTTTGGATGATCCTGTCTGTATAGAATCTTATGTCATTACACTTTCTGTTGTGAGGTATTAACATATGTACATATGGAATGTTATGGTGTGCATATAAGCACGGCTCTATGGACAAAGTTTTAAATTTGCTTCCGTTTGGCCCCTTTTACTCTGATGAGTCTTGTCTTATTTGGTTTGAGGCCATAGATAATCTCGTGATTACTAGCTGGTTATGGCCTTAACCCATAGGGAAGGGTTCGGGTCGTGACAATTCACCAAAACAGAGATCTTAGCAGAGGAAACACAAGTTTTCATCCATCGTATCCATCGAGTTCCAAAACCAAACTTTGATAGCATATCAAATAAAAACTCACAATTAATAGAGTCATAGGCTTTTCCAAAGTCCAATTTAGGCACCAAGCCTTTTCTACTAGATCTTTTCTAACCATCCACTATTTCATAGGCGATCAGTATGCCATCTAGTATATTCCTTCCCCGCAGAAAAGCTGACTGAGCCTCACCAATAATCTTGGGCATCCCTGTTTCATTTTGTTAGCTAGTACTTTAGCTACAATTTTATACAGGGAACCAATCAAACTGATAGGCCTATAATCATTCAAGCAAGAAAGGCTTAAAAATTTGGGAATCAGAGCTATAAACGAGCTATTTAGCCCACCAAAAAGCCTTGCATTCTGATGAAAATCCCTCACAAACTATAACACATCAACCCTCACAATTTTCCAACACTTCTTAAAGGATGACATATTAAACCCATCAGGACCAGGGGCCTTATTACCATCACAGCACTTGATAACAATTTTAATCTCCTTCTCTGCAAATTCTACCTTCAATTGTGTTATAACTTGAGCTTCCCTTATGTTCTTGAATGGGCCAGACAATTTGGGTCGGGTTTTTCAATTTTCAGAAAATAGCCTCATAAAATGGGCCTTAACTACATCCCTAATTTCCAAAGGCTCCTCAAGCATTGAACCATTTACAACAATTGAACACAGAGAGTTCCTACTATTTCTGCTACATGCCATAATATGAAAGAATCTTATATTTTTATCCCTTTTAGTTGCCTAATTCACTCGAGATTTTTGTAGCCAAATCCACTCCAACATTTTACGTAACCTCCAAACTTCACCCCTCACATCCTTTCTTCTATGCAATTCTGTATCACGTAGTGCTCGGTCCTCAACTAACAAATCAAGAACATGAGCCTCATCTTCTACACTTTTCAACTTCGATTCAATCTTACCAAACACCATAACATTCCACTGTTTGAGTGCCTGTTTCAGTGCTTTAAACTTCATAAGACACTTAAACCCTGTCATCCTTTCACACCAGATTCTGACCAACTTTGTTAAACACATGATAGAAATTTTGGATGAAGAAACCAGGCATTAAAAAACCTAAAAGGCTTAGGGCCCCAATCCCTGTCATCCTCCATTAGAATGATAGGACAATGATCGGACAACAATCCAGGAAGACCCTATAATTCGAAGGAAAAATGCTGCACCCACTCATAATTAAGTAGAAATCTATCAATTCTACTCCATTTCTCCCTTACTTGAGAATTACACCAAGTAAACTTCCTCCCTAACATAGGCATATCTATCAACTCGAGTTGTTCAATCATATTGTTAAAATCCCTCATCCTTTGATCCCTTCTCGAACACTCTATTCTTTCTTAAACACTCTTTATTTCATTGAAGTCACCCCCCATACACCATGGCCCCAAGAAATTGGATTTCAACCTTACTAACATATCCCAAGTCTCTTTTCTTTTAGCCACCTCATTAGGACCCTAAACATTCACAATCAAAGCTAGAAAACAATGTACCTAATAAAAGGATGAAGTTCTGGGTACTGCAACAATCCTTCAAGAGAAACACCTCTGGATTCCAAATACATAACAGCTCTCCAGCTCGACCAATCGAATCTACTGTCATGAATTCAAATTGGTCCCTAGGCCACATAGACCTAACCAAGGTAGAATCAACTGCTGCCTTCTTGGTTTCTTGTAATAACACAATATCCACTTTTCTATCTGCAAGGCTTTTCTTTATTTGCCTCTTTTTTTCAGGTCTTCCAATTCCCTTCACATTCCATGATTATATCTTCATAAGTATAAGAAAACCCTCTAAATAGCTGGTTGTAGGAATCTAACTTGCATCCCTTTCCCTCGGCCTTGCTCTTTGTTTATCTTGAGCTTCAAGATCATGTAATTTACTAAGTACCTCATCTTCTTTGCCTTCACAATCAAGACCAAGGGCTTTGCCTATTTGAATTGATGCTTCCGCCTTCGACAATACTCACCTTCCTCTACTATTTTCGCTTGCCATTAATAGTGAAATGGCCGCAACCGCCAACCTGAAAAATGCTCATTTCCTCAAATTCAATGAAGATGTTCCCAACCTCTTGGTAGCACCGAATTTTCCCTTCCTTTGCTGCTTCTGAAACTATTTTCTTGTTACTGGTAATGTTTTTCCTTTTATTTTCTTTTTTCCTGTTGGACAAAAGGATGCTGGTGTAATATGGGCTAAAATATTCTTTGGACCTAGTGTGTTGTTGTTATCACACAGAACTAGCCCCGCTGGAAGAGTAATTGGGTCTTGAGAGTTGTTTTTATCAAGTTGAACTAGCCCCACAGTTCTCTAGGTCGGTCCAACCAACCCACTTGCTATTTGGGCCTTATTGAGATCCATTTCAATTTGAATACCCAACTTATTGCCTTCAGACCCACTTAAACTTGTAATAAACCCAGGGGTGTAGACTTCACCATCTACCCTACGCTTGAAACCATCATCACGCTGCTTGAAGCTCGTCCCTACCTTTGCTAATTGATTTACGCGTGCGCCACCTTCCTCAGACCCTTCTTTTATCATTTTAATTTCAGCTACCATTGAGACGTCTCTCAGTCTTTCATCCCCATCTAGTGCATCTGCAATAGTAGGTGATACAATGTTACCCACTCCAGCCACATCACCCCATAGGTCTAACTTCTTCCCCGGTTGGACCTCCACATCATCATCTTCCTCGTCATGCCTGCTGCTTTTGTTCATAATCTGAGCTTCTGCAATTTCCTCTGAAAATGTCTTCACTCCATTCTTCCATTCAGTGGATTGGTATACACATTGATCTTGCAAAGTTTTAGAGACTATAATTTGTTCTTTACACACCCTCACAGGGTATAGTGTACCTGTGCACTCCAGATTTATGGTGTGATTGATAGTATCCATACTAGTCGTGGCTATTTTCACCTTACCACATTGAAGGGAGTTGAGCCGAAGAGTATCATCATCTATATCAATCACTGTACCCTAGATCTTGCCAATACTGCTAAATGTAGTGAAACTCTATAAGTTCAATAGGACACCATAACAACTAAGCCACACATATCGTTCTTGTTCAATCACCAACCCTTGTCGCCATTCATGAGCTAATTCACACCATTCATTAAGCCACTCCTGCATTTTCTGAAATGTGTCCTTCATATCTTCAACTGAGTTGAATGTTAGAACCATATCTCTTCCACCACCCATTCTCACATTTACATCCCCAAAGCCTCTCCTTATTATTTCCCCCTTAAAGTCAACCACTGAGGAGGATGGTTTTAATCTTGCTACTACACTTTCGTACAACCAACCATTGCCTTCCTCAAAAGCCTGAATAGTTCGGATTGCAGCTGTTTGGATGCCTCTACCTCTCACAACCTCAGCAAAGGACCTGGTCCTTTGGTATCCAGCATTAACCATGTGATTATCATTTGTAGCCTTTCTTGCCTGTGGTACTTGTATCGACCTGGGCTTCGGACCAAACTCATGTCCAAACTCTACCGTTTTGACCTTCAGTGCTCTGTCATCACACCAAAGCCCATGTGTTTTTTGTACTACCATGTCCGCTGCAACAGAGCAGTTGTATTGTACAAAGCCAATGTTGAAATAATATGCTTGTTTAATTTTGTATCCAAACAATCACTTATGCATATTTAATTCTAGTTATGTTTTGGGTTGGGTTTTGTTAATTAGAGTTAATGTATGTGGAGGATATTGGTCTAGATATTTTATTGGTACTTGGATTGATATAATTTCATATATAAAACTTGTAAGGGAAGCTAAAAAGTTAATAGAAAAATCTAAAAAAGGGGTAGTTCAGTTTAGACCCCTCTTCTCCCCTATTTTCACTCCTCTTCTCCTCTATTTTTTTGCAGAAAAAATCATATCAGATTTTGTGTGTTTTAGATTGATTCCTTTGTAGTTTAAACACACATTTGCTTCCAAAACACCTAACATAAAGTGGTATCAGAGCCTAGTTCGAAGTGGAAGGTTGGATTCAAAAAAGAGGGCTGAAAATAGAAGGTGTGTGAAAAAGAAAAATGGATTTTGCAGAAAATCTCCATGGCTAACTCAAGCAATCAAAGTATAGGTATCCAACAACCATCTATGCCCATTTTTGCTGGAGAAAATTATGATTATTGGTGTGTGAGGATGAAAACCTTATTTCAATCCCAAGGTTTATGGAACTTGATACAAAATGGGCATGATGAACCCAATTCAACAACTACATTAACCTCAGCACAAGAGCAGCAGCTAGAGGAAACCAGGAAAAAGGATGCTAAAGCACTCTTCTTCATCCAACAAGCACTCTCTGATAAATTGTTTCCAAGAATCATTGAAGCCAAGAAATCAAAAGAAGCATGCGACATTTTGCAACAAGAATTTCAAAGAGACAAAAAGGTAAAAATCATCAAACTCCAAACTCTTAGAAGGAAGTTAGAATATTTGAAGATGAGAAAATCTGAAACTTTAACTGATTATTTCTCTAAACTAATGGAGATTGTCAATCAAATGAAATCATATGGTGAAAGAGTTGAACAAAAGAGAATTGTTAAGAAAATTTTGGTTAGTTTACCAGGAAAATATAACACAATGGTGGGAATAATTGAAGAGACAAAGGATATCTTTGAAATGAGTGTCCGAGAATTGATGGGTTCTTTGAAAGCTCATGAACAAAGGTTGTTAAAACAATCAGAGAAGCCTTTGGAGAGTGTATTCCAATCAAAAGTTAATTTGAATTCTAAAAGTCATGGAGAATCATCAAGTAATGAACAAACAAGAGGGAAATCATCAAGAGGTGGCAGACAAGGAAGAGGAAGAGGTAGAGGAAGATATTCATCAAGGGGAAGAGGTAGAAGCAACATTCATAGAAGTTCAAGTGTGGATGAAAATACAAGAAAGTGTAGAATATGTGAAAGGGGAAATCATCTAGAGAAGGATTGTTGGTTCCGAGGAAAACCACAATGTTATAAATGCAAGAATTTTGGCCACCTCCAAAAGGATTACAAAGTCAAGAGCAATCAACAAGCTAATTTTTTAGAGGAAAAAGATGGAGAAGGAAACTTATTTTATGCTTGTCAAGCAGCTTCAGAACACAAAAACGATGTTTGGTACCTTGACAGTGGGTGTAGCAATCATATGACAAGTGATAAGTCTATTTTCTTGGACATGGACACTTCAATTTTCTCTCAAGTTAAAATGGAGTGTTAGTAAATACAAAGGGAAAAGGAACCATAAGAAGGGGACTAAGTTTATTCATGATGTGTTGCTTGTTCCAGACTTGGAGCAAAATTTGCTAAGTGATGGACAACTTGTGGAACATAGATATACAGTCCATTTTGAAGCTAACAACTGCACCATTCATGACAGAAAGCAAGTGGTAGCAAAAATTCAAATGGAAAAGAATTGAAGCTTTCCACTCATAGTCAACTATGCTAGAAATGTTGCTTTGAAAGCTCATACGAATGATGAGTCATGGTTGTGGCATAAAAGACTTGGGCATTTGAATTTTCATAGTCTCAAAGTACTTCACCAAAAGAATATGGTCCAAGGACTTCCAAGTATTGAGGAAATACATGATGTTTGTGAGGGGTGTGCACTTGGGAAGCATCATCAGCAACCTTTTCCTAAAGGAGTTGCATGGAGAGCCAAAGAAATGTTATAGTTAGTTCATACGGATATTTGTGGGCCTATGAGAACTCCCTCCCATGCCCAAAACAAGTATTTTATTCTCTTTATTGATGACTATACAAGGATGACCTGGGTGTATTTCATGAGGGAAAGATTCGAAGTGTTCACTATTTTCAAGAGATTCAAGAGCATGGTGGAAAAACAAAGTGGGCACTACATAAAGACTTTGAGAAGTGATAATAGCAAAGAATACAACTCTAAGGAGTTTGAAAAAATTTGTGAAAATGAAGGTGTAAAAAGGCAACTAACAGTGGGTTATACTCTACAACAAAATGGAGTATCCGAAAGAAAGAATCAAATGGTGATGGAAATGGCCAAATCTATGATGCATGAAAAGGGGCTACCAAAGAGTTTTTGGGCTGAAGTTGTTTACACAGCAGTGTACTTGATAAATAGGTGTCTTACCATAGTCGTTTGGAACGAAAAACCCATAGAAGCTTGGAGTGGGAGAAAGCCATCAGTAAAACATCTCAAAGTATTTGGATGTGTTTGCTATGCTCAAATTCCAAAGGAAAGAAGAAGCAAATTAGATGAAACAAGTGAGAAATGTATCTTTGTGGGATATAGCAGGAAATCCAAGGGTTATCGATTGTATAGCTTGAAGAAAAATCAGACAGTAATCAGCCGGGATGTGTTATTTGATGAGAATGCTTCAAGGAATTGGAAAGAAGGGACAATTGAGAAGCAATCTGTCCTAGTTGATGAGGAGCAAGAAAATTCAACACATGAAGATGAAAATAATGAAGATTCACACCAATCCTCACCAAGGACAGATTCATCATCATCTTCCAGCTCTTCTCCAAGTTCAAGCTCAAATTCTAATTCATCCTCACCTAGCTCAACTCCAAAAAAAAATTGAGGAGTTTGAGTGACGTGTATGCTAGATGCAATTTTTGGGTAGTAGAACTTGGAAGTTTTGAAGAAGCAATTAAAGAGGAAGCTTGGAAGAAAGTAATGGAAGAAGAAATTGAAGTCATTGAGAAGAACAACACATGGGAATTGGTTGAAAGACCACAAGGCAAGGAAATCATTACAGTGAAGTGGATTTATAAAGTAAAGTTGAATTCGAATGGTTCATTCCAAAGAAACAAGGCAAGGCTGGTCGCAAAAGGGTACACACAACAGCCTGGAATCGATTTTCAAGAAATATTTGCACCGGTTGCACGACTTGACACCATTCGAGCTCTCATTGCTTTAGCAACCCAAAAAGGTTGGTCATTGTATCAACTTGATGTTAAATCTACGTTTTTAAATGGGGAATTGAAAGAGGAAGTGTATGTTGAACAACCTCAAGAGTTTTTAATGAAAGGGGATGAAGACAATGTGTATAAATTGAAGAAAGCATTGTATGGGCTAAAGCACGCTCCAAGAGCATGGTATAGCCAAATTGATTTCTATTTCATCAACAAGGGTTTCAAGAAGAGTAAGAGTGAGCCAACCTTATATGTAAAGAATCAAGGTATGTCAATTCTTGTTGTTGTCTTTTATGTGGATGATTTGTTATTTTCCAGTAATGATGAGATAATGATTGAATAATTTAGAAATGACATGATGAGAAGATATAAAATGTGTGACATGGGTTTGTTGAATCATTTTCTTGGAATTGAAATCTATCAAGGTGAAGATGGAGTATTTATTTTTCAAAAGAAATATACTGAAAATATTTTAATGAAATTTGGCACGAGTAGTTGTAAGCTCATGGCCACACCACTAGTTATAAATGAAAAACTTACAAAGGAAGATGGAGAGAAAAAAGTCGATGGTTCGTTGTATAGAAGCTTGGTTGAAAATTTATTGTATCTTACAGCTACAAGGCCGGATGTAATGTATGCTACAAGTTTGCTTTCTAGATTTATGAATAATCCCAGCCAAAATCATCTTGGTGCTACAAAACGAGTTTTTAGATATATTCGAGGTACAACCAGCTATGGTATCAAGTATTGCAAAGATTCAACTGTGAAATTGTTTGGTTTTTGTGATAGTGATTGGGGTGGCTGCACTGATGATATGAAAAACAGCTCCGGGTATGCATTTTCCTTGGGTTCTGGAGTATTTTCTTCGGCATCAAAGAAGCAATAGAATGCGGCGCAATCATCTGCAGAAGCTAAATATGTTTCAGCGGGTTTGGCAACTTCCCAAGCAATTTGGTTGAGAAGAATACTTGAAGATGTTTGCGAAGAGCAAGAAGTTGGTACATAAATTTTTGTGACAACAAATCAGCCATTGCCATGGCTAAGAATCCTATTTTTCATAGTCACACTCGTCATATTGCAATTAAACATCATTTTATTCGGGAAGCAATTAAAGAAGGTAAAGTGCAGCTCAAATTTTGCAGGACAGATGAACAAATTGCAAATATATTCACTAAGGCCCTTCCCAAAGAAAAGTTCCAGCATTTCAGAGAGTTACTTGGAGTTATGGAGCAGCACATTAGGGGGGAGCAATGTTGAAATAATGTGCTTGTTTAATTTTGTATCCAAACAATCACATATACTTATTTAATTCTAGTTATGTTTTGGGTTGGGTTTTGTTAATTAGAGTTAATGTATGTGGAGGAAATTGGTTCAGATGTTTTATTGGTATTTGATATAATTTCATATATAAAACTTGTAAGGGAAACTAAAAAGTTAATATAAATCTGAAAAAATGGTTGTTCAGTTTAGACTCCTCTTCTCCCCTGTTTTGACTCTTCTTCTCCTCTATTTTCTGCTAAAAAAATAAGATTAGATTTTATGTGTTTTTAGATTGATTCCTTTGTAGTTTAAACACACATTTGCTTCCAAAACACCCAACAGCCAAAACGAGATCGTGTCATCTTTCTTCTCTTGTTTGGAATAAAAGCATTCATGACTACACCGTAGTTGGAGAAGATAGTGTACAACGCTCTGGTCCCCATAGATTCTGGAACATTGTCCACAAAAACAAAGTGTATGGTTGTGTCTGCCCTTCTGCTCCACACTCCCCTGCCGCCATGTCGCGGACCACTAGTTGCCATCCTCCTCCTTCATTCCCATGACCATATTATCATGTTCAAGTCACCTCATGATAGTGCTTTAGGCTTTAGATTAGTGCCTTTACTTTCGGTTAGTGGATCCACTTTTGGCATAATGATGTTTGTCATTTTCTCTCCTATATAACGGAGAGTGTACCTCTTTCTTCATATAACATTCAATACACAACAAATTCAATATACTCATTTATTCACTCTCTCTTCTCTCTTTCTCAATTTATTTTACAGAGAAGATAGTGTACAACGCTCTGGTCCCCATAGATTCTGGAACATTGTCCACAAAAACAAAGTGTATGGTTGTGTCTGCCCTTCTGCTCCACACTCCCCTGCCACCATGTCGCGGACCACTAGTTGCCATCCTCCTCCTTCATTCCCATGACCATATTGGTTGCCTTCTCGAGTCATTGTTCCTTTTAGGAGATCACTTATTCTTTTCTTTATAAAATTCACACACGTGTATATATGTATAATTATAAACAAACCCCATGCATAACACGGTAGAATACTAGTGAAAAGGTAATCCAAAACCAAGTCATAATTTATGTGATCAAATCCATGTATCTCGAAAGAATATTCCCATACAAGTAATCCGTATCAAAACAGAAACCAAAAAAATCTCATTATTTTTTACCAACCTACCTCTATAAATCTAAACCTATTGTATTCAAATCAAAACTCAGATATATTTCTCTGCAGTGTTTTTCTTGTTAAGTTCTTTGATTTTCCTTTGCCATGGCTATAATATGGTTCTGGTTGATGACATGTGTGTTGCTGCATATTGCTGTGTTGTGTAATGCAGGTGTCACAAGTGGTTTTGTCAGGAAAGCTGCATGGTCGGTTGATATTCCAAAATCACATTTTCCTCCGCCTTCTGGCACCAATGCACCCGAGCAAGTATATATATTTTTTTATTTACTCATGAAAAAACACTTTCAGTTTTTACCTACGCTCCGTTTGTTTGGATGATAAACATTTTTTAAAGGAAAATATTTTTTATGATTTTTTTTTCAGAAAATATATTTCTATGTTTGGTGGTGGTGGTGGAATGAATGTGGAAGTGGAGGTGGAGGCGGTGGTGGTGACATAGTGGTGGGATGATAGTGATGATAATAGTGGAGGTGACCGTGGTGATGATGGTGTGGTGGTGTAGGTAAGAGTGGCGGTGGTGCTTTGGAGACATTAGTAAAATTTTAGTATGAAAAAGGTTTTTCGCCTTTTAAGAGTAGAAAATATTTTTTGTTCAAATAGACTTATTTTTCATTGATCAAGAAAAATGTTTTCCGTTTCTATCGTATCAAATACCAGAAAATACAGAAACTCAAACAAACGGAGCGATAGTATAAAAAACTTAATAAAAACAGATGTATCAAATTTTTTTAATTATTGTTTATTGATTACAATTTTAAGTCTACTTTAAAGATTCGCAATATGATTAGTTAAAAATGTTAATTTTAAATTCTATTGTTGTTGCAACATTTATATTAATTTTTCTATTAGGCCATAAAAAAGGAGCTTTGCATTATTTTTGTTCCCTAACATTTACAATGAAACTTCTGAAGAATAATGGGATTAAATCAGCTATTGAGCAAAAACATAACTCATATTAGTTGATTATATCTTTTTTGTGTCATGAGTTATCTAATCCAATGGTATTGAGAGTTTACCAGAATAAGAACGGAACAATTTTTAGCACAAATCTTGAGACACTTGATTTAACTGTATGTATGTGTAGATACAAATTGTACACAATACACATCACTTTCGGGTAATTGTTTAGGCAAAAATTCATAGTAGATCAATTTTTTGAATATTTTTTTATTTTTTATTTTTTCCTTAAACTGGCAGGTTCACATTACTCAAGGTGATCATGAAGGCAGAGGTATGATCATTTCATGGGTGACTCCGGTTGATCGATACCCTAATGTGGTGACATATTGGGAAGCAGACACTGAACATGAGCACAACAAACACAAACACTACCATAAGCACAAGACTCATTCAACAATCACCACTTATAGATACTACGATTATTCTTCTGGTTACATTCACCATGCTACTATCAAACATTTGAAGGTATATATATATATACAATAAATGTATTTACTTTTAATCTAGTGTTACTTTTGAGATTAGATTTTTGAGTTTTGTAAATTTTTTCGTACAGTTTGATACAAAATACTTCTACGAAGTTGCATCCCATAATGTTACCCGTCGGTTCTCCTTCACAACGCCTCCCAAGCCAGGACCCGATGTTCCCTTACACCTTTGGTGTCATAGGTTAGGACATGTATAATTAGTAATTTTTAGTTTATTTATTTAATCCATCATTCATTATGTTTTGTATATTGTTAACATTTTTTTTGTCAAGGTGACTTGGGACAAACTGCCGATTCCAATCAAACTCTAGAGCATTATGTGTCGAACCCAATAAAAGGCCAAGCTGTGCTATTTGCTGGTGATCTTTCATATGCTGATGATCACCCTAACCATGACAATACCAAGTGGGATACATTTGGTCGTTTCATTGAGAAGAGCGTGGCATACCAACCCTGGATCTGGAGTGCAGGCAATCATGAAATCGACTTTGCTCCTAATTTGGTAAGACACCAAGTAAATATGTTTTGCTCAATGTCACCAATCTCATTTTTATGTCATAAATCATTTTATGGATTATATGATCTTCTCTTTTAGGGAGAAAGTGTTCCTTTCAAGCCATATTTGCACCGTTATCATGTACCCTACAAGGCATCCCAGAGTACTTCCCCACTTTGGTATTCAATTAAGCGTGCATCCACATATATCATTGTTCTTTCTTCTTACTCAGCCTATGGTATGAATCCACTTCATTTTTTATTTTTCTTTCATATTTTATGCTTTTATGTTTTGTTTTGTTAACAAATTTTTATTTCTGTTTAGGGAAATATACCCCGCAATACAAATGGCTTGAACAAGAGCTCCCAAAGATTAACAGGTCTGAAACTCCATGGATCATTGTTATTCTACATGCTCCATGGTACAATAGCAACCACTACCATTACATGGAAGGAGAAAGTATGAGAGTCCAGTTTGAGCCGTGGTTTGTTCAACACAAAGTTGATATTGTGTTTGCTGGCCATGTTCATTCCTATGAGCGTTCAGTAAGCTTTATTTCTAATACAAAATGCATAATTTATTTTCATATTGTTTATGAAAACTAATTTCTTATCCTATGTTTTAGGAACGCATATCAAATGTTAAGTACAACATTACAAATGGACTGAGTGGACCGGTTAGAGATAGTTCCGCTCCAGTATACATAACAATCGGTGATGGTGGAAACATTGAAGGCATAGCTGACAAGTAAGAGACTCTGTAATTCTTTCTTAGGACAACTGATTCTCATACTAAACCATTTTGTAAAATTTATACTAATAAAATTGACCTTTCATTTTGCAGTTTTATAGATCAACAACCGAGTTATTCTGCATATCGTGAAGCAAGCTTTGGGCATGCAATTCTTGAGATTAAAAACCGAACTCATGCTTATTATACTTGGCATCGTAATCAAGACAACGAACCCGTTATAGCAGACTCTGCGTGGTTTTTTAATAGGTTCTGGTATCCCGAGGATGAAAGTAGCATCAATAACAAGGAAGCTTAGTAGATTGCAGCCTCAATAACAAGAAGGCTTAGGAGATTTTTGTTTGTAGAGATTTTAGTTTGGATTTATTGTTATTATTATTACTTTTTTTGGTAGGTTGTTTTGTTTTTCCCGGTGCTTTGTAAATAGGTCCAATAATGTTTAGAATGTCCATTATGGCTAGACTTTTAATAAATAAATGAAAAGTATCGTATGTTTGATTTTAATTTTCTGAATTTAAATTTTTTTTAAATTAAATTTTTTATTTTTTATATTTTTTTATTTTTAGTGAATATTTCTAAAATTTTAAGTAATTTTTTAGTTTTTTTTAGATACACTTAACTTAGATGTACCTAAATGGTAAAATATTTGTGAAAAAAATTAATAAATACACAAAAATAAGAAAAAGGTACTGAATTTTATTTTTATTTTTATTTTTTTTGTATTTTTGGTATTTATTAAAATTTTCAAATATTTTTTCACAAATATTATACTTTTTAAGTGTATTTATGTTAGGTGTATTTAAAAATTTTAAAAAAGAAAAAAAAAATTGGAAACAAAAAAATATAGAAAACGAAATAGAAAATTTTCTGAAAAGTGAATTCTGGATATAAAAACCAAACAGAGTTGTTTTCGGAGATCCTTGAATTTTGTTTAGATGCTTTATAACAGCAGATAGATGCCTTGAGAAAAATGTTTAAGACACCTTATTTATTATTCTTAAAAATCACCCCTAATAATGAGTATGATAAATGTTAAATTTTAATTTGTCAAATATTTCATTATGTGGGGTCTAACCTCAATGTCACATCATTAGAAGTTGTTTAAGGGTGGTAAATTAGGGGGATGCATCATTGTTGTAACAACAAAGCAATAAAGGCAAATTGCATTGATAGTCCCTGTATTTTAGTCCTTATATTATTTTGGTCCCTATAATTTTAATTGACTCTTTATTGATGTAATTTTTCATGTTTTCCATCAATAAAATCTTCTTTTTGCCGATGAAAAAAATAATAATAATAATTTTAATCGACTCGATTTTTACCTTGAATTTATTATTTTGCTTCAATTTAATCGAATTAATTACTTACAATTATTAATATTTTTTAATGAAAAAAATACACGTAAATAACACCTGAGACCAATGCCATATAGCAGTCAACAAACAAGCCAACACCACTAGAACAGATCAAGTTTTACAGAGACAAACCCAGAAGCATTAGTGCAAATTCACCCCCTCAAACGTTAGTGCAGTAGTGCTACCTCCACAAACCATTCCACATTAGAACTACAAAGCATAGGCAGCAACTAGCATTCGAAGCAGCAGATAGCAGTTCAGAAACAGAGCAATAGCAGTAATAGTTTACTCCCACAACTAGTATAGCAACAGCAGTAACAGTTCAAGAAAATGCAGTTGCCTCATCTAAGAAAATTTCAGTTGCACTCCCAGAACTATACCCATTGCAGTTGCACTCCGAAGATTGGTGAGAAACCAATCACACAGCCAACAATAGAACAAACAAAGAGAAGAAAGAAGAACAAACAGCAGAAGCACTAATTGGAACAGAACACCACACCAAACTGGACTAAACTGCAGTCTGCACAACCCAAGCCTCACCCCTGAGATGTTATAAGCACAGATTGACAGGTAAGACTATAACAAACCTCCCCTCACCCCTGAGATGTTATAAATGAAATCCAAAATCGAAAAATGGCGCTCCTTAGAAGCAGCCTTAAGCCAGAAAGCCAGTCGAATGAGAGTCAGATCTTGCAGGTCCTGCAAATTTAGGAGAGACGCGTTAAAGAAGTAATCATTCCCGTGCTTCCAGATTGACCAGAGTGTGACCCGGGGTATGGCACGCCAAATGCACTGTTCAGCTTTCCTATAGAAGTGCCCTGACCACCATTGCAGCAGACCATGAACAGAATCAAGAACAGCCCAAGAAACACCCCACCATTGCAGCAGACCAGACCAAACTCTCCAAATAGATGGGCAGAGGATGAGAACATGCTCAATGGATTCTTGCTGAGATTTACAAAATACGCAGAGTGTAAAGGCAGAACTATCCAAGACTCCAATCTGCTGCAAGAATATAGAGGTTTTGATCTTGTGCTTCTATACAAGCCAACCGAAGAATTGCACCTTAGGAGGAAGGTACTTAATCCACACCATATGACTGAAACTTTCAGTACCTCCAGAGACACTGCTGGTTTGATTGTAAAGGTTGGACACAAAAGATTGCTCGGGCTTGGCTGCTCTCCAAATTGCACTGTCCTAGGACTCCAGGTGAAAGAAAGGGGCTGGACCTACAAAGCCATATAGCCTGAGCAGTTCATTCTTTTCCCAAACAAATAGAGACCTCCTAAATGTGAACAACCAATTCTTAGTTGTGCCAGATACTTCCACAAATTCCTTTAGCAGGCCTTCCTTTTGTGAAAATAAACTGAAGAACCTAGGGAACTCCTCTTTCAGGCAGACATTTCCACACCAAGAGTCAGACCAGAACCTTATACGACAGCCATTGCCCACGTTTAACTGGAGGTTGCTAGCATAGTAAAGTGAAAGAGACTGATTTAGATCACCTGCTGCCATTATGCCATTCCAGATATAAGAGGATGAGGTGTTTAAACTTGGGTTTGGAACCCATTTCCCACCAAGGAACAAATATTTGCTGCATAATACCCTCTACCAAAGTGACACAGGTTCAGAAGCAAATCTCCACCACCATTTTGGGAGTAGACACACATTCACGTCTCTAATTCTTCTAACACCCAAACTACCTTGCTTTATGCTCTTAGTAATCTCTGACCATTTCACTAAATGAATTTTGCGCTTCAGATCTGGCCCACCCCATAAGAATGAGGCTTGAATTTTGTCTAACTCCTTGGCAATTCCCTCAGGTAACTTAAATAATGACAAGTAGTACACAGGTATACTTGATAACACTGCTTTCACCAAGGTTAATCTACCTGCAAAAGATAGTAGCTTCCTTTTCCACCCGGCTAGCCTTAGTTTTACCTTATCAACTACTGGTTTCCAAGTTTTCATTCTTTTAGGGTTTGCATCCAAGGGTAGTCCTAAATACTTGATTGATAAATTTTGAGACTTATAGTTCAAGAGGCAAGCAAACTCAGCAAGGGCAGATCCGGAGATGCCAATCCCACAAATCACACTTTTGTGGAAGTTAATTTTAAGCCCTGAAGCCACTTCAAAGCATCTAAGAATTCTTTTTAGATTTAGCACCTCTGATATCTCACCTTCACAGAATAAAAGGGAATCGTCTGCAAATTGAAGATGGGACAATTACACCTCATCATTGGCCCCAATAGATACACCTTTAAGCAATCTTAGGTCCATAGCTCTCTGAAGGAGAATATTTAATGCCTCAACAACCAAATTGAATAAGAATGGTGATAAGGGGTCACCTTGCCTAAGCCTTTTTTGGAGATTAAACTCTTTTGTTGGACATCCATTAACAATGATTGAAATTCTAGTAGTAGAGACACACTCCTATATCCAAGAGATCCATTTTTCGCCAAAAGCAAAGTTTGCTAACATTGAAAAGAGGAAATTCCAATTGATGGAGTCAAAAGCCTTCTTAAAATCTATTTTAAAGATCAGCCCAGCTTTCTTGGATTTGACCCAGCTGTCCATGACTTCATTTGCAATCAAAACACCATCCAAGATGTTTCTACCTCCTAGAAAAGCAGATTGTGAATCACCAATTATCAAAGGCATAACTGACTTCAATCTATTTGTTAGGACTTTGGAAAGAATTTTGTAGACAGAACCAATCAGACTAATAGGTCTGAATTCATTTAGTGATAAAGTGTTCTCCTTCTTAGAGACAAGAGTAATGAATGAGCTATTCAAACCTGGGATTAAACTGCCACTGGCATGAAACTCTTGCATAAATTTGAGGATTTCACCTTTAAGTACCTTCCAAAATTTTTGAAAAAACATCAGGTTAAAGCCGTCTGGTCTTGGGGCTTTGTTCCTATTTCAATCATTTACTGCAGCCCAAATTTCTTCTTCAAAAAAATTTGCTTCAAGAACATAAAAGTGGGTACTAAGTCTACTACTTTTGAATTCACCTTTCAGAGTTGGCCTCATTTTCCAATCATCTTTGAATAGGTTTGAAAAATGAAGCCAAACTTCATTCTTGACAGAAGTTGGGTCCTCAAGAATCACACCCCCAACTGTGATGGAGTTGATAGTGTTTCTGGTTTGCCTACTAGTGGCCATGACATGGAAAAACCTGGTGTTCCTATCTCCTTTCAGATTCCAGTCCATTCTAGATTTTTGGAGCCACCCCTATTCCATCTTCCTACTTAGTGACCACATTTCAGTCATTTTCTCTCTTTGCAGCATCAATTCACCTTCATTCAAAGGTCTAGTTTTAGCTTTTAGATCAAGATCATGCAGAGTAGATTCAAAAGCTTCTAATTTTTTTGCAACATTGCCATAAGACTCTTGATTCCATTTCTTTAAGACCAACTTCAGGGACTGCAATTTCCTTTTCAGGATGGATCCTTCAGATCCATGCAACTGAAGTTCACCCCAATTGCTCTCTACCAAGGAAGCCAGTGTTGGATGTAAGGTCCATGCATTCAGAAACTTCAAAGGTTTGGGCCCCCAATCCCTACCATCCCCCATGAGAAGAAGTGGGCAGTGGTCAGAGATAGTTCTTGGAAGACCCCATAGTTTGAGTTTATATCTCACTAACCATTCAAGATTAAGAAGAAATCTATTTATTCTACTCCACTTTTTCCCTTCAAGAGTATTACACCAAGTGAATTTTCTGCCTAGCATTTGGACATCTACCACCTCACAATTATCAATGAAGTCATTAAACTCCTGCATGCCTCTATCCCTACGAGAAACTCCTATGCTTTCCCCCACATTCCTAATTTCATTGAAGTCTCCACCAAGGCACCATGGGTTTACAAAAATTGTTTTCAAATTTAACAGGGTCACCCATAAAGCTTTCCTCCATATTACATCATTTGGGGCATAGATGTTGACCAGAACACAGTCAAAAGAATTGTGAGCCTTACCTGATAAGAGAATAAAGTTCCTGCTGCTACAATAATCTGAGAGATGAAAGACATCAGGATCCCAAATGCAGATTAATCCACCAGACAAACCTGCAGCATCTACAGACATGAATTACATCTTGTCTCTAGGCGCAGATTAACATATGTCATGCTTTCAAAGCAAAATTATAAATTTGTTCAACTTAGTAAATTAATTTCAACTAATTTTGTGATAATTTTCCATCAAAGACACTAACATCATTATTAATTGGACCAATATGACATAAAATCTAAAATTAAGAATCAAAATTGAACTAATTAAAAGTGTAAAAATAAAATAATACAAGAGACAAAATGTAAAGATGGGTAAATTATTTATAAGTCCTATTTGGAAGACTTATACAAGATATGGTCCTATGAAAAAACTTATAACTCAATAGGTCTTGTGATTTTCTTGTAAACACATCTACCCTCAATCTTAATTAATTAATAACCTGATTAATGATAGTACCATATATGAGAAATACAATGTTACTATAGATTATGATCATATCTATATGATTAGAAATTTAAAATTCAAAATAACCTAACTAATAGCAATACCATATAAGGAAAATCCAATGTTACCATAAATTGTGATAATATCTATATGGTTAAAATTTGAAATTCAAAATAACTTAATTAATAGCAATATCATATATGAAAAATCCAATGTTACTATACATTGTGATCATATCTATATGGTTAGAAATTTGAAATTTAAAATAACCTAATTAATAGTAATACCATATATGAGAAATCTAATATTACCATAGATTGTGATCAAATCTATATGGTTAGAAATTTAAAATTCAAAATAACTTAATTAATGGCAATATCATATATAAAAAATCCAATATTACCATAGATTGTGATCATATATATATAGTTGGAAATTTGAAATTCAATACGTAAATGTAACATGTAGCATTCTAAACCCAATTTGACATTTCCAAACCCAACGTGACATTCTCATATGCTTCTGAAATTCAAAATAGCTTGATTAATGGTAATATTATATATGAAAATTCCAATATTACCATAGATTGTGATTATATCTATACGGTTAGAACTTTGAAAATCAAAATATAAATGTAGCATGTAACATCCCAAACCCAATGTGAAATTTCCAAACCCAATTTGACATTCTTATATACTTCTTATCCTAAATCCAACGTAAATGTAACATGTAACATTCGAAATCCACCGTGACATTCCCATATGCTTCTCATTCCAAACCTAACATGGCATTCCAATACTCTACCATTGAATTATGAATAATATAACATCCTAAATGTAACATATAACATCCCAACCCAACCCAACCCAACCCATGTGTTGAACCACCATCACCTCTAACCCAGCGTAACTTCAACATCGAGCAATGAGATTCAATCCACATTCAATTACAACCCAAATATCTAATAATTTTGCGTAATGTACTGTAACATGTTTGTAAATACTTATTGGAACAAAGATACAATACATATTTAAACACATATATAACCGAACAAACATACAAATGTCATCTACTACATGGTGTATGTAGATTAACGTTACACGCTAAAGGCAACATGTATCGTAACACGATCATCTAGGTCCAATGTACAATTGTCATCCTACGACGTGGTTCACATTTGACATCCAATTAACAACTAAAACCAAGTACCCCCAACCCAACCCTTGAACCCATACACACCATCCCACACATCGAATATATCAAAAAGTATCAACTATCACAATGTCAAATACACATATTCAATCAGAACATTGGCCAAAGTGTGTCTATCGATGACTATAATAGATTGTCAATGTCCTATTGAAGATGAACAATCCACACTTCAACAAATAGAAACACATTTCAAAAAAATAATAATAATAAAATAAAATAAAATAAAATCTTCTCCTTAACCGATTAGAGTTGAAATATGTCGAAAGAATCAACACACAGCCCTCAAACGACCATTTCACATCTATTTAAGCAACATTTTGAAAATGCACTGGAATCTCATGATCAAGGTGAACAAAACTCGCATAGTTGTGTAACAAGCCCGCGGGGGGACCTCGCTACAGCTCGGACTCGATTTGTAGTCACGGTTCTAAGTCTGAACCAAAGAGTCCAAATCCGACAAATCGTTTTGAGAAAACTGATTTTTGAAAGAAGTGCCAAACATGGGCTGCTTTGCCAGATACAGAGTCGCCACCTAAATGTTTTTTAATGGGAAATTTAGGAAACCCTGACTCGGTGCCAAAGGCCACGTGTCCGTCATCACCAAAGTTGCCTCGGCTCGGGAATTTGGGTACGATTGGGGAAGGTCACTTCGTGAGCACCCCCGCTCGCCCGATCAAAGATCAGCCTCTACTAACCATGATATCAATTTTTGAAAACTTTGTGTGTCCTTATTCCGGTTATTAGCCTAGGTTACTATGTGAAAAAGACTCAACAACGAAAAACAAAAAGGTAAACAGCCTAAACACAACGAGACACGCTCGGGACGACTCAAAGCAGGAATCGAGACAAACAAAACAAAAGACACGACACATAGAC